TAAAATATTCATCAGCTAAAGTTATGCATCACGTTTTTTAGATTTAGCTTACATTTCAGAGATTAATCCAACAAGTTGACACACAAGTGTCTCGTTGTACCTTCAACTATAAACAGGATCTTCAACGAAAAGATTTTTAAGTTTCTTCTCCAGGACTGTGGTCTACTATACAGCCTTGAGTCAAAAGGTTAATTTTAAGGTTGATTTTATAGAAGATCCTGTTTATAGCTAGACCGTACAAAGAAGGAGGTACAAAGAGACAGATATAGCCTATAGCTAAATGTCTGTATAATGTGAATGTACTCGTTAATAAAAATGGTAGAGAGAAAAAAGACATACAGACTTGCAAATGTAATTTTGCCGAATTCAATTCACCAGAATCAAACAAACGGATTTGCAAAACAAATCTCCCAAGTACCAAAGAGCAAAAACGTCACAACACTTGCATGAAAATGGAATGAAATATCAGTGATAACGCATTGAGTTACAACATCTCGTAGCAATTACAAATGTTTTCTCATTTGTTTGTGTTCGGAATATAAATGATGCGGAATGCAAATTGGCCAACCTCTACATTTGGCTAAATCCCAAGGAGAAATCTTGCATAAAACAGAAGCGAAAATCAGATCAGATCAGAGTTTGGCAAAGATCATCAACAAGCATATAGAACTGTATGTTCTACTTTACACAATTCTAATCAATACAGGGATGGATTTAACTAGAGAATGATCGACCATCGAGCAATGAGCTGTCACAATGTGCACCAGAGCTCATTGATTTCCAACTAGAGTACTTGGGGTATTATTCTTTCAACTCAAATTTCCAACATTAAGACATGTCCAGAGTTCCCTTTAGACAATGTATGGCCAGAAAATATGAATTCCTTTAAGGTTAATGTCAACTATAGTGCAGCTAACCAGTGTTAATTTCGTTGACGAAAATAACGACGAAAATTATTCGTCAACGACATTTTTTCACAGACGAAAACGAGACGATAACTAAATAAAACCTAGTTTTGAATGACAAAGACTATGACGAAAATCTAATGACATTTTCGTCAACGAATAAAAACTAGACGAAAATGTTAGATAGTGACGATTTGGGAAGCGATCCGTCAGAACTGATGTCCTGAGCGTGTGTGATAGATGCGCACATTTGTAGGCTACTGTAACGTGATCTACCCCGCGGTCATAAAACGTTAAAAAATGTGAACGTCTGGGAGAATGAGTAGAGCAGACATATAGATCTGAATAAGAGTGACGATGCAAAAAAGAGTTCTATTCGGTGCGGTTTTCTGTGCGCACACACCTAACCCGAAGCGTGCAGTCATGCACAATACACCTACAGCGCGCGAGTAGGCTACTGAATTGAGCTGTCTTTCGTGTCTGAATGGACAAATACACACAACAGTCTGTCTAAATGTCCGTTTTAGAGAGTATTCATGTAAACTATGCTGGTTATGTCTTAAACTGTGAGTGTATCGGATGTGCATCAGTGCAATTGTATCCGCATGTCATTGGACATGATCCGACGTCTTAAAGTGACAGTGGCAATAAACATAATGCGGTCCGTGTCCTTAATTTTGATCAAGCAACAAAAGAAAAAGAGAAAAGCATTCACTGTTTGTTAATAGCTTTAATAAGGATTAATTATATTGAATTCATACAAATAAATATGTCTGCTTGAAAGAATAAAGAATGATGTGTAAGTAGTTATAAGGAATGCATATATCATTCATTGTAAAGAAGACTGTGTTGTACTTTAGGAAAAGTGGTTTTATTTAATTTTAAGATATTTTTTAAGTAACAGCAGTTAAATCTGTATCTGTATTGCATGTTCAAACTTAAAAATCATTCATATTAATAGGTTAATAGATGTTTTCTCCGGGAGTAAATGGGTTTGGAAATTTTAGAGAAATTCTAAATTAACGCATTACAATTGAACTAAACCCATTATATTTTAGTCGACTAAATCTACTGTAGATTTAGTCGACTAAAATGTTATTGTATTTCGTCGACTAAAACTAGACTAAAACTAAAACAATTCAGATGACTAAAATATGACTAAAACTAAATGCCATTTTAGTCAAAAGACTAAGACTAAAACTAAATCAAAATTTGCTGACAAAATTAACAATGCAGCTAACTGGACGTGTTCTCACAACCTGTGGTGCCCATTATCAGTTTATTGATCCCCTCTTGTGGGGTTTAAACTTATAACCTTTTGGTCACCAGCTCAGCTATTAAACCATCAAGCACCTTGTAAATTATTACCAAAGTATTCAGTAGTTTAGGCCAAAATACCATAGTTACTACAATTAATATCTGCAATAAAATGTGTGCACTCTACCACTTTCACCAAAAATGGATATTAAACAAAAAAGGTGTCTTAGTTTGTTTTAAGGAATTGCATATTAATTATACACCAGTTCTGGTCCTCTACATAGATTGGTGAGGTGGCATTCCAAGCATGTCGATATTTAAGCACTGAAGCACTGATATCATATCCATATATGGCAGAAATAGTACGAGTAGTATGCTATTCAGAATTCAGCCAAGCTGAGCAATGCTGAGGAAGTCAGTTAGTCCGGAAAAAACAGTACATGAAAAGAGCATTACCGGTATATCCGAATTCACAGTATTCATAAAACAGTATCCGAAAACTACCTGGGAGATTAAGTCAAGTCAGCTTTATTTATATAGCGCTTTATATAGATTACATATTTCAATACAGCTTTACTGTGATAACAGGAAAATTATGCATTTTAGCTGTTGTTCAGCTTAAAGACCCACTCCGATGAAAATAATGTTTTTCTAGGTGTTAACATGTTCTTGTGGCATTTTTCTGATGTTAGAGGACATATCTTGAGAAAAATAAGCTCAAAGTTGTATTTCTGAGTATTTCTACATTCAAATGGCTGTGAATCAGTAGCAGACGCTAAAATGCCGGCTAAAATAGACTGGAGTTGTGACGTAGTAACTCCACTGGGCGTCTCCACACGCGACGTCTTGGAGTGAAATAATGATCGGTGATCGGTGATAACTTTGATTAACTTCGGATAATAATAATTAACGTGTATATAATAGTATATAGTATATTTTTTAGAAAAAAATCACTTAATTTTCAAAGAATTGTATTATTATTATAGTTTTATGTATTTTTGATGTTTTTTCGTTGTTGTTTTATAAATGCTCTATGACAATTGTTAAAAAATGTTCAATCAAAACATCGCGTCTTTTTTTTTTTTTTTTTTTTTTTTTTAGTCGACTAATCGTTGCGCAGGACAAGACTTTGGTCGACTAAGGATTTCTTTGGTTGACTACAGCCCTAGTATATAATAATGTTGCCCCACCGGTATTGGGGGTGTAAGCTAGCGGGAGAGACAGAGCTCTCAGCAACGGGCAGGGGGAGGGTCGTCTCCGTGCCAACGGCTCCGCCCACAACGCAGAGGCGAATTGCTAATGAGCTACTGCCGCTCTGCTGAAGCGAAGTCCCAGAAAACGGCACAGGTTTTGTGATTTTGGCTAAAAATGGCATAATCATAATTTAAAGACCACTGGGAATGTTTAAAAATAGCTCAAAATATGATCGGAGTGGGACTTTAAGTCAGTTCAGTGTTGATTCAGTTCCATTGTAAAGATCATCAATTATTAAATTAGTTCATTTCATCTATAAAGCAGTTCTGCAACAAATGATGTCATCGTCCAGCTCAGTTCAGTTCTCATACAACAGCGTCAGACAGATCAATAATATTGTTGAATATTAAGTGTCCCCAACTAAGCAAGCCAGAGGCGACAGCGGCAAGGAACCCGAACTCCATCAGGCGACAGAATGGAGGGGAAAAAAGAAATCTTGGGAGAAACCAGGCTCAGTCAGGAGACCAGTTCTACTCTGGCCAATGAACAAACACAATGTGATTATGGTTCAGGTTGCATTACAAGTCTTATTATTGCATTACTGGTCTTAATATTGGGAGATATGAGGGTCTGTGGCTCTACTATTAAAGAAAGCGTATCGGCTAACTAAGATCAAGTGTGCCTTGATAACCAATCACATTTACAGTCTTGACGTCATTGTTTTTAGTTCAGATGTGTGTGACAGTCAATCACTGTTTGCGGATACCATAGAAATGAATGAGAAGTGCCGTAAACGGAATCATACCTGTCACGCAATTGTCTGTGACTTCTCTTATAAAACAGCATTTTTTTCGTTTGTAAAAATAAATAAATCCAAAACTAATTTATAAGAGCAAACATGTTGAAGATCAGCCGGTGGACTGTCGATTCGTTAAATAAGCCGTTTTCCAACTAAAGAGGTTTATTCAGCGTAGTGAAACCTATCCTCCATTGACATCCATTCAAAAAAAAAAGAGGGCTTTTCCCCTGCATACCAGTGTTAGCAGGCATTGTACTTTTTTTCTAACCTTGCAGGCTTGACTTCAAGTGGCTTTGATGCAACTTACGCTGTGGGTAACATGACACTGACAACAAGACCAATGTAGTACCTCCTGATTCCATTCATACTACATACATTCATTATAGAAAAATATTTTATCAGTAGCCAAGCAAGTTCTTGATCAAATGAACTACCTACTGAGACAGTATGCGATTTCAGACGCAACAAGTGTTTCTTTTATTTTGAGTGGGTTTCTCTCACTAGAGTGACAAATGAAAAAAAACAGAGGTGGAGCGGAGTGATAGCTGAATGACTTGAGTGGGTAGCAGGGAAATCTTGCTGATGACTTTTAAGACCAGATTTTAGACTCAGTGATGCTTGGGTGACACGAAGTTTGTTAGTTTCTATTGGAACTATTTTCTTTTGCCGGAGAAGTAATAAACCAACTAAAAGGCCAAATCTATTCTGCACTGTAAATTACTGGATAACAACTTTTGTATAAAACTTGCACTTGCAATTGTGCTGTAGTACTGTTAAGTTAAGAACAACCGCATTCTTGCACGTGTGGTACAGCATAACTGAATGATTCTCACAAATGAACTCACCTTTGCCATTTTGCCAAGCCGTGTACCAGGACAGACTGAGAAACGACGTGAAGAAAACAATCGCAGTGGCAACAGTTCCATGTCTGAGCCTCATCTCATTTCAGCGCCTCCCCGTGCAGCTGGTCCTCTGGTCCTCCAGATCCAGGCGTGCATAAGCGCTTCAGAGGATCATATACTGTCCTCTCCTTCCTCCTCCTCCTCCTCCTCTCGGTCGCTGCTGGAGTCACGAGGCAGCCCAGCGGAACTGATGCATTTCCAGATAAAGATGTGCAATCCTCATGCCTGCCGTTACTGGAAGAGATCATGAATAAATGAAGATTCACGGAAAGGCACAGAAATAGACGTGGAAACATATATTGTCTTGGTTTCGGTCTTCTTTTTTTCCACCGCATTGATTACAACATAGTTTAACAAATAGCTGTTTATATGCAACCATATTTCAAAGGAAATTAATCACCGATAGACATACAGAAATACTGCAGAGGAAAAAATAATATAGGGGGAGGGGTGATTGAGTAAAATAAAACATTAAATGGTTAGAAAAGGCCACATAATTAGGGGCTGTAAGATAAAGAGTTGACTACCTGTCGGAGGACCCCAAAATATGTCAGACTGGCATGATCAACAGCTCCAAGTTCAACACTTCTTACCTTTCAGCCTGTTGTTGAACAACCAACCGGTCCGGCTCGATCTCATAAAAACTATTAAGCAAAAAAAAAAAAACGAGCAGAAACACGTTTTGTAATGTTCGTTAAAATAGCCAAATTAGACGCACCGTCCTGCCAGAATCTTCAGCGGTGGTGTGATCTCTCAATCAAGCTTTGCTTGAAGACTACACCCACAGAGGGCACAGTCGCCCACCCAGCCACATGATTGGCTGGAGTCACCAGACCCCACCCATCAATGACGTTGATTGGCTGGAGCCAGCACACAGCTCCTGTCTGCCGCCACACGGCGGACTGAACCTATCGCACACTCACTCAAGTATTATTTACTTACTGATTTTTTTACTGTTACTATTTTTCTTTCTATTAAATTAAATATATTCCATTGTCAAATTACCATGTGCAAGTATTTATCCACAAGCTCACACAGCAAATTTCATATTGAACATATTTTTCAATTTAGGAGATTGAATGTTGTGTTTGTTGTATAGTAGTCAGTCATTAAATTACTTTAAATTCACATTTAGAAAATCCTTAAAAAGGAATCTAAATACTGAGTGGAAGTGGTATAATGATAATTGTATATTTAAATTTAATGTGTGTGTGTGTGTGTGTGTGTTTTTACAGTAATTAATATTATTAGGAACTTGAATACATACAATGGAATTACATTTTTCATTTTATATATTACCTTAAAAAATGTAAGAGTTACCCATACATTTTGCAAGCCATAACATTTCCTAATTTCTACTTTCCTGAGAATAGCCTACTTATACTACTCATATAATAATACTACTCATAAGTCATCTGTCATATTGAGATGTGCATGTATGCCATGTATGCTGTCTGAATGTGGGCGCCAGAGGGCACACACATTTAATGAATAATTGATTGGCTTATCTGACCTTCCCTATCACTGATAGCTTGTGGGCCTGAACCTTTACTGTATGCAACCATCTCTCATATATTTTCATTTATATTCCCTATTCTTGTTATTGTAATGTAGTGTCATCAAAAATGGTATTGCTGCACCCCATACCAATTGCAGTCTGTATTTTAAGCCTATACTTTTGCTTTCGTCTTTTCTAATCTCTCATTGACGTAGTCTTTTCATAGACTGCACTCTGTCTCCCTATAGTCAATTTTTATTTCTATGCATGTCTCTTCCTTTTAAACACTAAAGCCTGCAATTTAGTCATATATTTATTATTTCTAGTTGTGTAACTGAAACCAGTGCTACCTATGCGATTATTTTTACTCTTTGTTGACTCACATTCTGTTTCTCAGTATGTCTCACCAAACAGTTTGGTTTATGAAAACTTGTAGGCTGATGATAAAGCTGAAATCTTTTAGAATGAAGTGGACATGATTAATTATAACCTGCACCTTTTTTTTAAAAAATTTTACTCAAGCCAGATACTGTTACATAAGAGAGTTTTGCTGAAGTCTCTTGGCAATTCTATTTTAAGCTTAATTCTGTATTATATAATCATATTACTCCAATCAATCCTTTTTTTAATCTACTAGATTAACAGTTATTCATTTACATCAAGTCTTAAACACAAACCGCAAAATGAGAAACTGCCCTTTCCACACAATATTTAATTTTTGTTTTTATTTTATTTGTGCAGCACATGTATATCATTGTGAAGTCGTAATGCAAGGCACAGACATTTATTTGATCGGTAACACTTTATTTAAGTGTCCTTGTTACACCTGTTACTTGTAGTTACTGTAGTAATAACTATAAATTATGCATAATTACAGGCCTTAACCAAACCCTCATCCTAACCTTATAGTAAGTACATGTAGTTAATTATTATTACTCAGTACCTAAATGTATAATAACCCTGTAACACAGACACCTTAAAATAAAGTGTAATCGATATTTCATTAAGATTGACTTCTACCTAACTGTGTTAGGTAGAATTACATATGAGGTCATGTACTGTACAGTAAGCCACTGTTCTTGAGAAGTTAATGCAGAACTAAAATTGAAATGACATGAATACACCTGACAAAAACTCTTTTTGCACACACACACACAACTTGTATTCCACACTTCAGCTGTAAATGAAATGTCAGACCTTCAGTCCTCACAGTAAAGTGAGTTTCATTCAGAGAAAACAGGCAAAAAAATCTCTACAACTATTTATATATACATTTTCTTTGTGTACTGAAGTATTTAGTATAGAAATCGCTTTTCATTGTGAAGGCCTATGGTAGAAAGGTTAAGTATAAGTGATTTTAACATTTGTTTAATGAATTAATAGCTTTCCTAATAGGTTAAGTATAAGTGATTTTAACATTTGTTTAATGAATTAATAGCTTTCCTTTCAAGTGTCTAGCATATATGTGATAAATGTCTCCAACCTTAAAGTGCCCCATTATGCTTTTTCAGATATTACCTTTCATGTATTGTTTAATATAGTGAATGTTTGTGAATGTAAAATGTCTGCAAAGTTTCAAAAGATTAAAGTGAATGACAAATGAAGTTTTTTTTTTTTTATCCCAAAAGAAATAACAGTTTCTGAACTCCCTGAAACAATTCCGTCAGTTATTCCAGTCTTACTTCCTGTACAAACCTACACATTTGAATAATGAAATTAAAGTGTTTTTTTTTTTTACCTGGGATGCATGCATGCCTCCAAAACAAAATTAGGAAATCTTTAAAATAGCATAATAGGGGCACTTTAAGTAACTGTGGAATTATTCGATTGATAATGTTAGGCTTCCTTGAAAATAATTCATACATTCAACAAATCCTCAGGAACACGTTAGGAACAAAATCCAGAGGCACTGAACCGGTATCATGGCCACTACAAAAACCACTAGTTGGAAGTAGTTTGTAACAAAAACATAACCTCCTTCTGTCCATAATCAGTTCAGTTCTGCTTGTACCTTGTTCATTATAGGATGCTGCCGTTTATTCTCAGAAAGGTGTCGCTTTGAAATATTCTTCAAGCGTAATGACAGAGACTCCTCCAACCCAGTCCTGCAGCCAAACTTGCTGCAAAACCAATTTCATGAAAAACCACTTATGTCCAGGGGGCCACTTCTTCATAACAGGATGCCTAAACAAAGCACACACAAAAATTAATACAAATATATATTTGCGGACACACTGCTTACCCAACTAAAAAAGAAATTGAAAAAAATCTTATATTAGTTAGTAACATATCTTTACAAATGCAGTTGCATTTAGCGAAACATTTCAGATATAAAATAAGTAGCTGAACAATTGTAGTTGCATCAGATACAAGACAAATAGCTAAATGATGTAGTTTATCAATGAGAACAGTCCAAGAAATAACGAAGATATTAGGATAACATGGATTGCAACAATATTCATAATTACACTTTACCAACAAACACAAAGGAACACTTTCTAGGATAACTGCTATATACCAAAAACGTAAAACTCAAAAATGCAACAATATTTATAGCATGCATGGCACAGGAGATTTGAGGGAACAATCTTTAATAACTCTTAAAAAAACGTATGCCTCCTACAGACTACTACTACAGATTTCAGCAATCCTAAGATCATTACAAATCACACTGTACGACCTGAATCTAATAAACTTGGGTACGACGTATGTAGACTGTACAATGATGACACCTATTGAATCGTATAGGCTATGATGCAAGTTAGTATAGAAGAATAAAACATCATCAGCTAGTAATAAACAAATAAAGCAACAATCAATCGCACTTTGCCAATTGTGATTTTTGTGTGTAAAAAAAAAGTCACAGTCGAAAGCCTATGGAAATGGTCATGGCCAAATTTTCAAATGGTGCTTGAGGCAAGTAGTTTTAAGTTTTATCGCCATGTCGTGTTATTCAATAATACCACCTTTTAAGAGCCAAGACCAGAGAAAATTTAGAAATCTTCACAATTGGTCATCTTTCATCTGGGACAGCTCAAAATCATACAATGTGTACCAAGCATTAAAAGAATAGTTTGCTTCAAAATTAAACTCAACTAAAACAACTTGAGGATGAGTAAATTATGACAAAATGTTCATTTTGAAGTGAACTAATCCTTTAAACACTGATGAGACCGAACAATGAGCCGAAAGAACTGAAGGCTTAAATACACAGAAAGTGTAAACAATGAAAAACAGAACAGGTGCAGGAACTAATTAAAAACCTAGGAAACCAATGATAACAGGGAACTCAGGCAAAACACAGGAAACATAGTGAAAACAAACCAAAACAGAACATAACAGAATACACATGTTACAGTTCACAGCTGTGTGTATGATTTACAATTTGCATACTACCTGGAGAACATGGCCTCCTTGGCAAAGTCAAGCTCGTCTGGTCCCACTTCCACCATTTTACCAGTCAAAGTGAGCCTTGCACATCTGGGGTCCTCAGGGTCATAAACCTGCTTCCTTTTGCAAGAAAATGTGAGCATAGAAAAAAAAAAAAACATCAATTAATCATTAAAGCACATTCAGTGACTATAAGGCGGTCCATGTCAAAGATGCCATTTGTTTTGATATGTATTAAATGTAAAAAAAAAAAAAAAATCCAACCAAGTATATGCAAGTAAACACACCTGCAAAAATCACCCTCTGCCTCAGAAAACGTTAAGGAGGCATAAGGGAAGCTGCGAAGATCCGTTACAGTGTTGTCCATCGGTGTGACATAAAAATAAGGAACGCCAGTGCTGTTGTCAGCTGGACCGTCACTGACAGAGAAGATGTTGCCAAATGGAAGTCCTTTGATCTAAAAATGGGGAAATAAAACAGTCTAAATTAAAGACATTTTGTACATGTAAATGTGCTTGCACTGATTGAATACAGTGCTTCTAAACCTTTTGTCCACAACAGTATTCGATGGCTCCGTGACTTTTCTAGTCACACGTGATTTACTGGATAAGGATTAAAGTCACCATGAAATCAAAACTGACAATTCTTATTTTTTATGGAATATTATTGCAGCATTTATTATAACTGATTTATAGTGTTTACTGGCGCGAGCCGCGACAACCTGTAACTTTAACTAAGCTCGTTTCCGCCACAGAATAAAAAATAAATAAGGTTTTTATTCTTTTATTTCACGCTTATATAGCGATTTATTCTGTGGTGGAAACAAGCTTGCAACTTCCATTTCTTGTGACATAAAGGATTTCAAAAAGCATTTTATTCACAATTTTTACCCAATAAAATATTTGAGCTTGGCATAATTTAAAAAAATACATTCATTATAAAAACGCCAATGGAACCTTACGATTTTATTCATTTACATGATTGTCCAGGTCTAGAAACCAAACTTTTAAAATGAGGTTCCCTGTTTGAAACACCAAAAGTACACATTTTCAAACTCGTTCTAATCAAACACGCCTGATTCCACTCATCAGCTCATTAGTAGACACTCCAAGGCCTGAAATGGATGGGTGAGATAACAGATCTGCTGAATTCAGAACCGCATACTACTCTTACTATTTCTGCCATAGAAGGATAAGTAGTACGAGTAGTATACGGTTTAGTCCAGTCATTTTTAGTCAAAATGCGGGTCAACCTAGAACAAATTGCAACAGAAGCAAACTCAACTGATTATGTATCCTCAATATGTCCTGAGTAAGGAAAAAAAAAAGCCCAGAAGAATCCCATTAGGGGAAAGTTTAGAAAAAGACCCAAATATAGCCTATTCATTTTTTTTCGTGAATAGGGTAAAAATGTTAACCTTTAGATAAGACTTTTAGATACGTTTTAAACGTTAAAACTGTTTGTTAACATTTGGGCAAACGGTGCATAATATAATTACGTATGTGCAAATGTGCATAACAACACAACATATCTAAACATTGGGTATAGCCAGGTGAAAATGTCTTGTTGAATCTTGTTGACATCTTACAGGACTATAGAGGCAAACAAATGTCACCATAAGGGGCAGATATTCAATCATTCATTCAAGGTCCACAACTGTCTCTAAGCCGTCACTCAGGTAAGAAAGATTTTCTTTTGTTTCTCCTAGATCAGTGGTTCTCAACCTCTCCTGCAGGGACCCCCTGACACACCATGTTTCTGTTTTAACCCTGAAATGGCACACCTGATTCAATTAATTGAAGGCTTAATGAGTAGTTGACTAATTGATCAATTAACTAATTCCTACTTCCTACTCTAATAATGACTCATTAAGCCTTTAATTAATTGAATCAGGTGTGCCATTTCAGGGTTAAAACAGAAACATGGTGTGTCAGGGGGTCCCTGCAGGAGAGGTTGAGAACCACTGTCCTAGATGGATTAATTTGATTGTTGGATTCAGCCACTTTTTATTTTACCTACCTTTTGTCTTCTGCATTCTCCTTACCCGTGTCTCCTGTTCTTCCCTCAGACTCATCCCCCAGAAACAGTCCCACGGACCCAGCCCCAAACCCCATCTCTGCAATACTAATTAATAAAGGCTGGTTTCTAAAGTGCTTCTTCCTGCCTCTAGGCCTATGTATTAATGCTCATGGGTAGCCAAAATGGGTTCCATTCAGACCTTAACATTAAGTAATTTACTGTGTCAACAAGACATTTTCATCTGGCTATACCCAATGTTTAGATCTGTTGTGGTAGTAAATTGTAATACTTTTTTTTTTTTGTCTTGATGTAAGTAATCAGCTCAGTAATTTTCATGGTGATATCTAAAGGTTAAAATGTTTTACCCTAACGTTATTAACGTGAGAAAAATAATGAATAGGCCGTATGAATAGGCTATATTTGGGTCTTTTTCGAAACTTTCCCCTAATGGGATTCTTCGGGGCTTTTTTTTTTTCCTTACTCAAGACATATTGAGGATACAAAATCAGCAATTTGTTCTATCTTTTTTCATAAAATGACTGGACTAGTTTCGAAATCAGCAAAATGTGTAGTGTTTGTTGTGTAATGTTGGGAAACATTGCTCTGGTTGAGAACCACTGACTTTTTTGTCGATAACGTTAACGTTAACGTTACCTGTAATGATTAGAACAGAGCTGCAAGCCTGCAACTAAAGTTTGCAGGAAAGTAGGTCATTCAATGCACCACAGTAAATAAATAAACATCACCTGTTCCTGCGTGGAGATGGTTGCCAGGTGACCCCAGTCGCTGTAATGCGCCATATATCGCGCTACCCTCGCCGTGTCCTCGTGCGGCGGAGGCGTTGGAACGCTGGACGGCGCCTTCACCTCCTCCATGCGGTATGAGAACACACGGGACGCGGATGACACATCCTCGCTTTTCGATATCTGCTCAGGTTTCTTCTCTGAACCGTCCCTGTACACAGAGGACGGATAGGCTTGTTTCCAGATCCCGATGTTATCGACGAGCACAGCGGGCGCCTCGTCCGAGTGCGTGTCCAGCTCTTCGTCCACCACATCATTGGTGACACCCCATGAAACCGAGCTTCTGATGGTGTAACTGTCACTGACACATAATAGTGTCTTTACCGCAATGACCAGATGAAGTAGTTGCATAGTGTTGTTCAGATCCACTAGCGCTGCGCCCTTTCAAACTGCATGTTTGTTTCGCAACTATAGATATGGCGTTACATGATATGCACAGTAACTTTGTTGCGTTTGTAACAGCGACATCACCTGGACCGCCTGAGAACTGCACCTGTATATCACATGTACAGTGCTGGTCAGAATAATTTGCCCCCTTGGTAATAAATAGGATCAAAGAATTGAAAGTGTGGGGAAAATCACATTATGAATTAAATGTTTTTCTCCAAAACACATTGGGAACAAATTTTTTGCCCCCTTTTATTAAATACTTTTTGCAAACTCCTTTTTCCAAGATAACAGCTCTGAGTCTTCTCCTATAATGCCTGATGAGTTTGGAGAACACCTGACAGGAGATCAGAGACCATTCCTCCATTCAGAATCTCTCTCGATCCTTCAGATTCCCAGATCCATGTTTTTCTTGACCCATTTTTGTTTTGATTTTGATGTTTATTTTTGGATCACTGTCCTGTTGGAAGATCCAAACATGGCCCATTATAAGATTTCTAGCAGAGTTTGTTTTGATTTTTTATCTGTTGGTATTTGGTAATCCATGATGCCATGTATCTGAACAAGATGTCCAGGACATCTGGCAGAAAATTAGGCTGATAAAAAATTAAAACCTGACAACCTCTGCTAGAAATCTTATAATGGGCCATGTTTGGGTCTTCCAACAGGACAGTGATCCAAAAACAAACATCAAAATCAAAACAAAAATGGGTCACTGAGCACAAAACCAAGCATCTGCAATGGCCATTCCAGTCCCTGACCTGAACCCTGAGTGGGCTGAACTGAAGAGAAGAAGCGCCAACATGGATCTGGGAATCTGAAGAGAATCTGTATGGAGGAATGGTCTCTGATCTCTTGTCAGGTGTTCTCCAAACTCATCAGGCATTATAGGAGAAGACTCAGAGCTGTTATCTTGGAAAAAGGAGGTTGCAAAAAGTATTTATTAAAAGGGGGAAAATAATTGTTCCCAATGTGTTTTGGAGAAAAACATTTATTTCATAATGTGATTTTCCCCACACTTTCAATTATTTTACTTCAATGAAATGTTAGATTTTTGCTATTTTTCTTAAGAAAATATCAAAAGGATTAACAATGCAGATTTATTTTTTACAGCCATCTTTGATCATTTTTACCAAGGGGGCAAATAATTCTGACCAGCACTGTATATTATCGTTTCCAAATGTATGCGGTCTATCCAAAATGTTGTTATATTTTTTTTTAAATCGGCATAAAAGTCAATGTTGATTACAAAAAAAAAAAAAAAAAAAAATATAGAACAAAAAAAGGAAACAAATAATTTATTTTAAATTGTATTTGTTCAATACAAAAAGTACCGGTATACAGAATTTGGTAATTTATCATTCCAACTGTGGTATTATGGTAGTAATTTGGCATATTTTTTTATATATACATTTTATATTTGCTATAAAAGTCAATATTGACATAAGTACAGTGGTGTGAAAAAGTGTTTGCCCCCTTTGTAAATATGATCAGAGATGGCTGTAAAAAATAAATCTGCATTGTTAATCCTTTTGATATTTTATTTTAAAAATTTGAAAAAATCTAACCTTTCATTGAAGTAAAAGAATTGAAAGTTGGGGGAAAATCACATTATGAAATAAATGTTTTTCTCCAAAACACGTTGGGAACAATTATTTGCCCCCTTTTATTAAATACTTTTTGCAACCTCCTTTTTCCAAGAGACCAGCTCTGAGTCTTCTCCTATAATGCCTGATGAGTTTAGAGAACACCTGACAAGAGATCAGAGACCATTCCTCCATACAGAATCTCTCCAGATCCTTCAGATTCCCAGATCCATGTTGATGCTTCTTCTCTTCAGTTCAGCCCACTCATTTTCTATGGGTTCAGGTCAGGGACTGGGATGGCCATTGCAGATGCTTGGTTTTGTGCTCAGTGACACATTTTTGTTTTGATTTTGATGCTTGTTTTTGGATTACTGTCCTGTTGGAAGATCCAACCACGGCCCATTATAAGCAGAGGCTGTCAGGTTTTGATTTTTTATCTATTGGTATTTGAACGAATCCATGATGCCATATATCTGAACAAGATGTCCAGGACTTCTGGCAGAAAATTAGGCCCACAACATTAAAGATACAGCAGAGTATTTCATTCTACACATGGGGTACTTTTTATCCCTGTGTGCACCAAACCCATCTTAAGTGTTTGCTGCCAAAAAGCTCTTTTTTTTGTTTCATCTGACCATAGAACGTTTGAAAAGTAACTGACACTACAGGAACTTCAAATGGGATGGGTTCTATGGTCAGATGAAACAAAAAAATTAGCTTTTTTGGCAGCAAACACTTAAGATGGGTTAGGTTCATACAGGTATAAAAAGTACCCCATGTGTAGAATGAAATACTCTGCTGTATCTTTAATGTTGTGGGCCTAATTTTCTGCCAGAGGTCCTGGACATCTTGTTCAGATATATGGCATCATGGATTCGTTCAAATACCAATAGATAAAAAATCAAAACCTGACAGCCTCTGCTAGAAATCTTATAATGGGCCGTGGTTGGATCTTCCAACAGGACAGTGATCCAAAAACAAGCATCAAAATCAAAACAAAAATGTGTCACTGAGCACAAAACCAAGCATCTGCAATGGCCATCCCAGTCCCTGACCTGAACCCTATAGAAAATGAGTGGGCTGAACTGAAGAGAAGAAGCATCAACATGGATCTGGGAATCTGAAGGATCTGGAGAGATTCTGTATGGAGGAATGGTCTCTGATCTCTTGTCAGGTGTTCTCTAAACTCATCAGGCATTATAGGAGAAGACTCAGAGCTGGTCTCTTGGAAAGAGGAGGTTGCAAAAAGTATTTAATAAAAGGGGGCAAATAATTGTTCCCAACGTGTTTTAGAGAAAAACATTTATTTCATAATGTGATTTTCTGCCAACTTTCAATTCTTTTACTTCAATGAAAGGTTAGATTTTTTAAATTTTTTTAAATAAAATATCAAAAGGATTAACAATGCAGATGTATTTTTTACAGCCATCTCTGATCATATTTACAAAGGGGGCAAACACTTTTTCACACCACTGTAAATATATAGAATTTAAAAAAATCTATTCTTTTTTAATTGAATGTATTCAGTTAATACAAAAAATGACAATGGTATCCATTGTTTGGTAATTTGCCATTTCAAATGTGGTAATTATAAAAAACAGAAATGAAAAATCCTGAAAGTGTCTCTTAAAGTAGATCCCATATTCATTTTTAAACTATTTATTTTGTTGTGTTTATATTGATTTTATGATACATTACAAATCACAAGTCACTTTAATACGTTGAATTTATTGGCCTAAGAAGTTTAGTTGATATTTTCAAAAGCAAGCTCGAAGTAATTTGATTTATTCTTTACAGCCACATAATTTAACATTTAACATAAAAGAACAGACATCTAAGAGGTGTCCGAAAATTAACAGGTGATATATGATGACACAATACATATACAAATCATTGGATGGAATTCATGGAAATAAATAAAATGTGTAATTGGAAAGGAAATAATCAATAAATTAATACTCAAACAACATTTTCACAAGAAAACAATGGTTAAACCTGAGAAACAATGAGCAACATATCACATGGGAGACAATTCTATAGTTGTACATGTATGTGTGTCTTCACACGTGAGTGATTAAAACATACAATCCTTTTCTATTCATGAGCACTCAGGGTGCTTTTGCTTGAGTCTGAGCCTGAATTAGTTTTTCTCATTTTCTCTGTCCACCTCTGATCTACATTCACTGTGTGTTCTGTTGTGCTGTTAACCAGTGTTGCAAGAGAATGTGGCTTATAGCTCACAGTATACTTCTCCCTTTTATTTTGTTTCGTTACCAAAATGTTGGTACCTATTTTCTGTGCATACATTCATACTTCACATGGAGAGAATGCAAGCAGCTCACAAGAGAAGGTTTTAGAAGGCAAACAGTATTAAGATGAATGACTGCTGAATGTTCAAGTTTTCCTCAAGAATTTACAAAACCGACAGTGGTTCATCAAGACCACACTGCTTTAACATCAACACACCAATAACTTGAGTACAGTTCTTTGGATTCAATTTCAGTATGAAAATGTCCTCAGATCCTCCTTTTCAACTGTATACACAGACTCAACCTTGCATTTGTAAACTCTTCCTCCATGTTTTTATAATGTTTTTTTTAGTCCATAGTCTTATCACTCCATGCCATGGATTTCCTCTTGGCCAGCTCCATCCAGGATGGTTGGGCACTGTCACGAACAGACTGCAGAGGAGATGATGATGGTGACGATGAAGGTGATGATGATTGTGGCACTGGTTTCTGCTGCCATTTATCCTCTCTGTCTGTTTGCCTCATGGGAACAGAAGAGACTGATGCTTCTAGAAATATCAACACCAAGTATGAGCATATAACTGAATTGTAGCAATCATGTAAAACTCATATTGTATCTCACACTTACGCATTGGCATACTTGGGTCGAATCCTGTGCTTGTACCTGAGACTTTTGAGATCGGTCTGAGAGGAATTGTTGATTGAGATGGGCTTCGGGACTCTGATGTGGCTTTCTGCTCACCCGTCTATAAAAAGAAGTAAAAAGGAAATCTGAAACTATTCACAAAACAGAATATACGTAACACAACTGTACTAGATATTGTGAGTTCTTGAATTTTTTTATTTAAAAATGTATAATTTTATATGAATAATTAAAGATCAAACGTCTGTTATGTTAGCTTCTGCTCTGGCCACTATAGGGGTCGGTAGTAAAACCTTAGTTAAACCTCAGGGAAATATGGAGTGAGCATGCTTTATTGTTGATGCAGTTATTTTTGATTAGTTTCTAGCATAAGAGTAAGACTCAACGTTTTGGCGACGAGGATGACATCATATCGTTTATAAATGCCTGCTTTGTTTTTGCCATGCCCGGGTCCGTCCTCGTAACAGATTCATACTTGGCGGAAGAGGTTTGAAAATGATCTTGTTGCCATCGATGCCACTGGAGATCATTGGCCGGAGGAGAGGAAACATTCTCTTCCTCTAGTGCCTGGGAGCCAAGGGGTTGAAAGTTTACTACATGCTGCTTAATACAGGTCAAACTGTTGCCGATGCTTTCAAAACATTAGAGGAACATTTTCAGCCTGCTTGGAATGTTGTAGTCAAACGCAATATTCAGACAACACAATTCAGACAACGTGCTCATTCAGCGATTGTACGGACGAGATGATACGGGATCAGTAAAAGGAGAAATCATCCCCAGCACACATTTGCGAGCAACTCTTGCTACAGCCACAGTTAACAGTGAAGAACGCAATGCTGTTAGCTGGTCAAACAGAGATCGCTGCGAAGCGCTCACAAATGTTGATGCCGCAGGATGCGTAAAAGATTAAACCTGCTCAGCGTGGTGCGCTATGACGTAATCGGAAATATCATGGAAAATCAGCGAGTAAAACACAATCACTGTCTACTGCACAGTCCGATCGTAGTTGCTTCCGTTGTGGGTCTAGCTCTCACTTTGCCAATGCTCAAAATTGCCCTGCCGCAAATGCTTTGTCCATCAGGTAAAATAAGAGAGTCAGCACAGCCTGTACAGCCTTCCCTTATCAGTTAGAAATTCAGTTTCCAGAGAACTACAACATTTACAGGTATCATCGAGCACGTGGGCGTCGCCTTGGCCTCGGCACTGGCAGCTTTTCAAAAAATCATACAATACTGAAAGGACTCGATGGAGTCCAGAACTACCTGGATGATGTGATTGTGTATGGATGCACGGCATCCCAGCATGATCGCAACCTGCAGGCTGTTTTAACAGGACAATGGCCTGCAGGTCTCACACTGAATCAAGCGAAATGCAAGTTCAGTTGCACAAGCCTTCTTTACTTGGTACACACTCTTACTGCGCAAGGCCTGCTACCCAACCACTGTCACATTCAGGCTAGGATAGCACCAGCCCCCACAGATCCAGCCAAATTACACTCATTCTTAGGACTGGCATCCTGGTATTTGCAGTTGGTGCCAAACTACTCTTCAAAGGTGAAGCCACTGAGGGCATGCTTAAAGAAAGTCATGTCATCTTTGTGACTTGACTGAGGACGCACAGAAAAGCTTTGAGAAATTGAAGTAGCTCATTGTGAACAACCCAGCTCTGGCAATCTTTGATCTGGCACTACATACTTTAGTAACCTGTGATGCCTCGGACTATGGAATAGGGGCTGTGGTAACGCAGATTGATGCTAAGGGTTCTGAGGTACCATAGCATTTCTGCCCAGCTCTCTCACAGCAGCAGAGCGGAAGTATGCCATAGTAGAGAAAGAAACTCCAGCATACATCTGGGCTGTGAAGCGGTGGCAAACTTGTTGGTGATGCCATAGGTTCACCCTTCTTATGGACCATCAAGCGCTAACTACTCTGTTGGAAGGTATGGAATGCGCATTACGAGATGGGCCCTGTCCCAAATGGCACCCTAAACACTTGCGGTCTTCCTATGAGTCCCCACTTTCGTGACGTTATGCCACTTTGACTGTGGGGAAGAAGTTCTGAAACCTAAAATGACAAATGGGACACCCTATGGACTCGTATACTTCACGGACACGCGTACGCAGTAGCCACAAGTCCACAAGACCAAAAGTGCATATTAAAGTGTGCCATTTGGGACAGGGCCATGGTCTGCACGCCTGCTCTGCTTCAGCTATTAAGTGTTGTACACACTAGGATCTGAAAATGTCACAGAAGACTGCCTCTCACGCCTACCCTTGCCCGCCTGTGAGGGTTCTGATTCTGCCATCAAACCTGATATGGTGGCACTACTTTTTGCTGAACCCTTTGCTCTGTCATTGGAGGAGTTTTCCAAAGAATGTGCTGCTTGCCCTGAACTAAAAGCACTATGGTAGCAACTACTTACAGGCTGGCCCCAAAACAAGAAAAACCTTCGACCTGAGCTGGCATCATACTTTCATGTCAGGGATGAACTTGCAGTACCAGACAACCTGGTTTTAGAGGTCCATATTGCTTGGTGGTGCCCATATCCCTGTATGGGGCCATAATTAATTTAACTCATCAGGTTCACCAGAGCATCGTCTGGACCAAGCAGCATCTTTGTGACATGTATTGGTTGCCTACGACAAAAGTGCCAAAACACATCCGCCTCTCCCCTTCAGCCCATACCACTCCTTTTTGCTGCTCCATGGTAAAACTTTGGACTAGACATTGTCGGCCTATTCGAGTTAGGGACCTGGGATTGCAGGTATACACTCACTTTAGTTGACTATTACAGCAAGTGGAAATAGCGTTTACCAGCAATGTAACTACTGATACTGTCACTGACTTTCTTGCCATAACATTTAGCCATTTTGGCAACCCTATGGATATTGTGACTGACAATGGTGTACAATTTACATCCCTTGCCTTTGCTGATTATTTTCTTGCAAACAGGAATATAAAACATGTTTGTACCTCCCTCTACTGTCCTCAAGCTAATGAGGCTGTGGAGCGCATGAACCGTGTCCTGAAATATTGTGTTTAAACTGCAAGCTTGACGGGTAAGCCCTGGAAAACTTCTGTGAGAGATTTTTTTTGCTGCATTATCATACTACACCTAATGCCACCACAGGTGTTGCTCCCAGTGAACTCTTCCTTGGATGTAAACTGAGAACAACCTTACACTGGGCCCTCTACTGATGCTACAGTGCAAGCTCGTGTCCACGCCCGCCAGTCTCAAGTCAAAACATACACTCACATCAAATGTGCAGCGAAGCCATCTGTGTTAAGACCAGGAGACAGACTGCGAGTAGACTGATGTCTACTCATGTGAAAAGGGCAGTCAAAATTCAGTCTACCTTGTACAGTGCTGGGGGGAAAAGGACGGGACGTGTATATCCTTGAAGACAGGTCTTTGTTGTTGCTGCAGTTATTTTTATTCGTTTCTAGCATAAGAGTAAGATACAATACCATCCATGGGGCTTACGTGAGAAATGTGTAAGTGATAAGACCACCTTTTTAGTTCAAATTCAGCACAGTTTAAACTCTAGTGACCCCATGTGGGGTTTTTTTTCTTCATTTTTTCAGTTAAAAGTGTTGTTTTTGCGCCCATGATAATCACATGTATTATTACTAATAATAGATAAGGTGTGTATTATTAATAATAAATTAGGTAATTTTAGATAGGCTAAATAACACTTATTCAATCAAGTTGATTCATCTTACTTGAAGAATGTGAGTAGAGATAACATGTTTCCATCATGTGAAACTAATGTACATGATTGAATCAGATTTAGAGTTTGAGAGTTTTAAGAGTTATTTTTTTATTGTAGTAAGCGTTTACTCTCTGGCTTATATATGACTGAAGAAATCGAGTGTGTTTGGAGATAGCATAATACTGTATATGATACCTTGGTTGCAACAGTTGTTTGAGTCTCCCAGCGCTGCACCAGCGGGGTCTTGTTTCCTAATCCTGCTGCCCACACTGGTCTGCCATCCTCGAGCCCGGTCCCCTTGCCTTGAGGCACATACGCCCTGTCAGCTTTCCCTGAGATTACGGTGGGCTCTCCTCCCTCATTCTGAGGCTGATCCTTTGACACAGTATTGGCAGACTGTTGGGAGACTAGGTGGGATGTTAACTTTGGGCTTGACGACAAATGTGGGTAACCTGGGGGAGGTGTGGGACGCACTATAGCCTGTGTGGAGGTCTGTGATGCTGCTCGCAGTGGTGATGACTGTGGTGCACATGCTTGTGCACATGCCGTGAGTACGGCTTGAGTGGTGGATTGTACGTTTGATGTACATGTAACTGTAGACTGAGTTGGTTTTGTTGTTGAATTACAAATTTGAGTTTTGGACTGAAACTGGACTTCTCTGGTACTTTCTATTTGAGATTGACTAGTGGTTGTCTGAGTTGAATTTGCTGAAGTTTGGCTTGTTGATGCTGTAGTCTGAGGTTGCATTGGAGTGAACTGTGTGGTAGATTGTGTGGATCTTCCAGATGGCTGTGCAGATGGCAGTTGTTTTGTTTCTGTAGGTCTCAAAGGAGGTTGTGTAGCTGTCGGCTGGCTTGTAATGTTCTGAGCGATTCTTGGATTGGCTTGTGAAGTGGATGTTTGCATTTGTGGTTGTGTTGTGGTCAAGGTTGTTGGTCGTGATTGCAAGCTAGGAAACTCAGGCAGTCTACTGGTAAAAAGCTGTTGCAGACTTCTGGTCTTCTCTCTGGCCATCTCCATCCAGGACACCTCTGAAGCTGTAGATGTTGGTGTGTTCTCCTGAGAGGACACTGCTGTAGTCTCTTCTCGATTCAGGTCTGTAACTTCTTTCGAGGGTGAAGGTACAATCTTAATGTCTTTGCTGGCTGATGGTAAGGGCTGAGGAGGTTCTGAAAATACATACGAATATCTATTTATCAGAATACCATGCAGCTTATTTCAGTCGAAACCACCCATTTGCATGGAAAGAGGTGATCTAACCAAAAAGGGTAACATGGGTGAATGTGAAATTAGGTAAGACTCTCAAACAAAGCTAAAGATAGGTGCATCCCAATTCGAGTGTGGAAGAATGACACTTCATGTTCTCAACTAATACTTCCTTAAATAGCGGAGGGGGAGGAACTATCAGACTCTGATGTTGGATGACAAAATAATCCTTATAAAATTCATACACTAGACAGATGAGTATATAGTGCATAGTATAAGTGCATAGTGTATAGTATGTAATTTGGGACACAACTTATGATTCAAAAGATTCTGATTCGAATTCAAACACTTTTGTTTAGGGTTGGAACCAATTTTTTTTTAAAAATTGTTTAATTTGAATATACACAAGGATAGAAAAGACTATAGAGTGGTGCAGGTATGACATCACTTTGTAGGCCAAAACACAGAAGCGAGTTAGCATTTTAGCACTTCCAGTTCCATCATCCTGAAGTCAATGGGTTTTTTTAATGGGGTTTTGGTTAAATGGCTGAAATACAGTAAGGTCTGTGGTGAACACAAGCTCAAGACACTTTCACGTTTTATTCTGCTACATAAAATACATCAATATTACCCCACTCGAGATTTTTTTTTAAGCTGTTACGTGTCTTGAAAAAGGCGGTTGCTAACAAGGGGCTAAATGGGACTGCAGAGGCTGTCGGGGACATTACACGTCATTACAGTGAACAGGTAAACTCAGTCCGCTTTTACAGGCTAATTTGGCTTATAATTGTGCTCTTATAAACTATTCGAAGTCAAAGATTCTGGGAAAATATTTTTAGATAAAGACTGAAATAGTTGTCGGAAGCTTAGTGATGGTGACGTTGAATTCGTGCGACCGTGGGGCAGTTTTTGACTGCATTTAGGCTTCAAAATTAAGTTATGTTCATCTGTGTAAAGTATCTTGATGGACAAAATGTGCATGTATCAGAAACTTTTGTTGATCACAGAGCTTGCTTTTATCCTATTGGGTTTTCGTCCAGGGAACCAGTGTGATGCTAACTGCCGGTTGGCCTACAAAGTAACGTCATATCTGCACCACTATTATAATTCCCGTTTCATTGATGTGACCACTAACTGCAAAAATAAGCTGATATGTTTCAGTGTATCAAAAACACAGCTTCCAATTAAATCAGTGCAGTTACTTATTGCACTAAGAGTAGTTAATGATTTAAATTATACATCTTGTAAGTTCTTTTCCAAAATATTTCCAAAATTAAATATGTTACCACAATCTTTATAGTTTAGGACAATTACTGGATTGTAATGAAGCATTAAGAAACCAGAATCCTTAAATTCTTTACGATTCCCTAGCTATTTTTGTAATAATCATGTATCACTACTCACTGGGCTCTTCTGCTTATCGCTACTCTTTTTAAACAATACTAAAATTGACTAATCATTAATAAGGAATAAAGATAATACAGACTTTATTGGTTTAATGATTTAGTAAAGTCATTTGTCAGTTTGATCAGAAGAGGTATAACTTGAACATAGATGTATGAGCACAATCTGCCATTTGTTTACTCAGTTGAGTAACCACTATCAGTGTAATTACAGACAGAGTCAGATGGGCACAGTTAAACATTTGAACAAAGCAGCTTTCTAAATGCTTTGACTCAGACAAGCACACCGACTGTTTCCTGGTATGACCTTGAAGATTATCCTCATAAGATATGTAGCTGTTCACATTTGTCATAATTGCAAACTAAGTAGTTAAGAGGACTAACCTTCAAGCACCATGGGAAACCACAAAAAGAAACTCACCAGCATGTCTGAGAAAGCCAGCTCTCTCTTTGTCTCTACAGAAACCCTTGGATGGTGAACTGGAGGACTGAACTGAGGTTGAGGATTCATCGGTTTGGAGATGAGGGTCTTTGAGTTTAGCATGGAGTCTTATAGACCCTGGGCTGGTGTGTTGATCTTCAGCTTTTATGTAGCTGGTTGAATCAGACTGTGAGGCCAGAGGTGGAGTCAGCGAACTGACTTCAACACTGTGGCCTTTTGCCTTGTCTTCTGATTGAGCTTTGTCCAAACGAAATTTTAGCGAAAGAGAGGTAGAGCGAAGCTTCACTCCAAATGCATTTGTAGTCTCCCTCTCTATTCCCGGCGTCATGTCTTCCATCACATCCTCAAATGCCTCTTTTGCCAACTCCTGTACTTCTTCCTCAGTAGCCTCTACACCAATCTCCTGTATCCTGTTGTCCTGACTCTCCTCTTTTATTGGTATCACTGGATCAAAGTCTATTTTGTCTTCCTTCTTTGATACTGGTGGTAAGTTAGCACATGGGTCTTTTATTGTTTTCTCAACTTGTGAACTTACCTGCCGCTCTATCTTGAAATTTAAAGAAGGTTTAGTAGGTTCGGTAGCTTCTTTTTTCAGTCCAGCTTGCCCAACTACTCCAGTGAAGCTTGCAGTCCTCGGCCGCTCTTGATTCTTATCTGAGGAGACATTGAAGTGGAATGATCCAGACACAGTTCTCTGGCGCTTTATGGATTCTGTTTGAGAGTGATCTTCCTGACTAACAGCCGACACTGTGCTGACTGGCTGAAGAGTCTTGGACTCTTGTTTTTCATCTGTAGATGGTACAGTTCGCCTCAAAGACGATGGTCTTACATTCACTCCACAAAACACGTTGCCCGGAGCATAAGTAGAGGCCAGACGATTTTCTATATTTACTGCATTCTGAACACTATATTTGCTCCATGTGTCCATCTTGTTTTGTATTAGCATAGCATTCGACTTCTCATCTTTCACAAGACTCGGTTCTGGTGTGGTACTCACATTTGGTCCTACAGTTGGGCTTACAGTTGACACAAGGTTACTTTGACTGTTCTTGAGAAGTTTGGAGCTATTGAGCATCTCACTTACTTCTCCTTTTCCCTTTCTATCAATTGGCACCACTGGGATTGGCAGTTTGGCTACTGGTGACTCAACTGGAGTCATATCTCTTAGGCTAGGGCTCGGAGGTGATGTGGACAGGATTTTTCTCTCAAGCTCAGGCTCAGCAGAAACTTGTCTACTATCTCCAGCAGTCTGCAGAGACATTAAAGGTGAAACTGGAAAACTCTTGATTTGTGAAGCCGTAAACCTCTCCCCTGGGCGCAAGACCTGAGAGGAATAAGAGCGAGCTCGAGGTATCTCTTTTACGAGAGCCAGCCCTTCCTCTTCCTCCCTCATAGTCAATGAACAGTCCAGATTGTTCAAACTCTCAGATCGTGCTCTGCTTCCAGTCTGCATAGGAAATACAGGAAGAGAGGAAACAATTGGTCAATATCTTTAGGAAAATCTATTAAATATGAACTGTTACATGGAAAAGAACAAGATGAAATTCATTTTTTTCCAAAACCATTAGTGCTGCAGGAATAAGTTGTAAAACTCGGAAATTACATAGCATTTTTGCACTTCTGGTTCCATCATCCTGAAGACAATGGGTTTTTGGATAAGGTCTGTGTTTAACACAAGCTTGTGGTATGTTCAAGTTTTGTTCTCTGACAAAAAATACATCAGTTATACTAGTCATGATTTTTTTAAGTTTTCAAAAAATGTCTTGAAAAATGCGGTTGCTAACAAGTGGCTATGTTATACAGGTTGTCGGGGACATTAAACGTCGTGATGGCTTTTACAACCTAGTTGTGTTTATAATCAAGCTCTTGCAAACTATTTTAACTCAAACGTTACAACTTTTTAAACAATGATCGAAAGACTTGTCTGAAGCTTAGCTTTTTAATTCTGCCGATTACATTTAGGCTTCAAAATTCAGTGGTGTAAAAGTGGTGTTCATTTGTAAAGATTATCGTTATGAACAAAATGTGTGAGAATCATAAACATTTGTTGGTCACAGAGCATATTTTCTACAATAATTAAAAAGCCAATGGAAAAATCCTGTTGGGTTTTTGTCAAGGGAATGGTCCAGGGTGATGCCTACAAAACTACATCATCACTGCAGCAGCGCTTTATAGAAATAGATAATTGGTTTAGAAAGGGCCATGAAAAATACTCACTGAAGTGATTACCCTCTTGTTCTTGGCACAGGCCCTTTGGTTCTTAGGTTTGAGGGACATACGGTGACGGGCAGCAGAGTTGTCCAGGAGGGAAGTGAACTGTGGAGGGGTGCTGAAGTCTACCCCTGAGCCAGGGGCAAGTGGGGAAAGGGGTGCAGGTGCTGGGCTGATAGAACGAGGAGAGAGAGGCTGTGAAGAGGCCTGGAAGGGGAAGAGAAGCACACAATTAAAAGGGACATTATTAGACAATATTTTAGACCATATAAATCATTCACATATAGGCCATGATATAGATGTATGAATGACAGGCATAATGTCAACACAGAGGTGAAATAGCGAGGGATATAAAAATGCAAACACAATGACATGGAGGTTTACATCATATTTAGACTGGAATGAGGACAAGAACTGGTATCCACACAAAATGGATAATAGGTTTAATCACAAACTTATGCAGATGTCTGATCAATGATTGTTTAGTCTGAAAGGCCAAAGCTGTGCAGATTTATAATCATTTACACACACACGGACATTACAATACACTACGTCACAATAAAGATACGGATACTGCTGCTATATTATAGTACAAGCACCTTGTTCGATATGCTGATGTACAGTCCTTCACCACGGGACACTTCAGGGGGGCTACGAGGAAGGCCGTCATCTTCTGAACTTCCACCTAAGTCTTCACGACGTTTCATAGGCAACAGAAGGGAGGGAGGGCCTAAATGCATCCTCTGCTGCTGGAGTTTCATCTGATCAGCCGAAAAAGTGACCTTTCAACTTCATTGTATTCATAAATTAATAAAGACTATTTGAAACACTTCTGTCAATCACATTGATGTGTGTTTATAAAGTGTGCAATAATTAAGCTTGAACAAACGTTACCGAGTTTTGTGTGTTACTCACCTGAAGAACTTGAATTTTGCCATGAATGTTCTCTTGAGACAGAATTCTTAGCGGTTCAGTGTCTGAATGACTGTGCTCTGCCTGAAAAATGCTGTCATGTGAAAATGCCCGGGATCCCAGCATGCCTTTGGAGCAGCTTTGAAGAAAAGATGTAAGAAGCAAAGAGGTACTTAGTGTGGAAATAATAAACGTTTAAAAAAATATACTTAAGTAGGAACTGCATGTAATGTTTTTTGGCACTTAATTTTATGTTAATTGCAATTAAATAGTTTAAATTTATATTAAATTCAATTATCTGACCTTTAGAGTTTTGTTTTTTTTACCCACTAAAGTAGGCACTTTATTTACATACTGTAATTACTGTTGTCTTTGAAATATGGTTAAAGTGTCCTACATAATGTACTGACAGGCATTTGTGGTAAACTAAAATGTACTTTAATTTTATTCTTTTGAAACTTGTATGTCATTTATTTAAATACATTTGTAATTAAACATTTGTAACGATGAATGATGCAATTAAGTACATTTAAAATTTGTTAACTTTGATTGATATATTAAATTAAAAAAACAGTGAAAATAAATAAGTACATCACATGTGTGTTAGTATGTTAGTACACATCAAAATAAGTGTACTTCTTTAAAGCACAACAAAAGAGTATTAAACCATGATTTAAAATGCATTTTAAAGTTAAAATTTTTAAAAGTGCAGTCAACAAAAAAACAGTCAAGCATGTTTAAGTATACTTAAGAGGCCTTTTATTTCATTAATATTCTATTATCTGCAAAAACAGGTTTTTTTAAAACATACTTTTAAGATTTGAAGTACAAATGCACATTCGATAAAATAAGCACACAAGGGATCATGCTGAGCTTTAAGTGGTTTCAGAGTGACACCATGCAAGTGTGAGTGTTCTTAAGTCATACCATGCTGACAATCAGTGTGAACACTTACTCTGAATCTTCCACACCCCATGTGATATCACTTTCAGACTGACTCTGCTTCATACCACCGTCTTCCTCTTTCCTCCTTATCTTCCCAAACAGGCGTGACTTAAAAGACTTTAATCTAGACTTTTTCCTTCCTAAACATAAAACATATCATCCCTTTAGCTTAATTTCTTTATTACAGTAAACTCAGTGAAATAAAAGAGACAAACATATACTGATTCATTCTTTTTTAGAACAGTCTTCTGACCTGTTAAGTCATCACTGCCTTCTCCCTCTGGGTCTCCTGAAGCCTCCGGAACATTCATCATCACCGGTACAGCTGTTAATGAGGACAGTTACGCAGAAATCAGATAAGATAGAATGAGGAGGAGTGAAAGAGAAATACAGGAGGTGTAGGGAAATCGTCAGCGGAATTGTCAAAGGAAATGTTCTAGTCTAGAATGGTAAAAGAATAGAAAATTACAGTTTAATAATTATTAACTATTAACTGTTTCTCTTAAATTCACAACAAACCAGTTGTTCTTCAAAGGAGAACAGCAGACGAGTAATCTATTGAAATGCGAAATACTTGAGAAATGTTATATCTCTGATGTGGCAACTTGGCTAAATTCTCTCTGCCTGCGATAGGTATCTGATAAGAGAATGCTTTTCTCAACCCAACAGAGACCAAAGGTTTCTTTTGCAGTCATATTTTCCATGTTGCCAGACGACTGCTTTCATCTGCACTATACCTACAATTATGTATGTTACTTTAGAACATACAATACTGTTCAAAAGTTGGGATCATTCATATTTTTTTAAAGAAATTAATAATACAGCAAGGATTCATTAAATTGATCAAAAGTCACAGTAAAGACATTTATAATGTTACAGATCATTTCTATTTCAAATTTCTATTCATCTAGGAATCCTGAAATAATGTATCACGGTTTATACAAAAATATTAAGCAGCAACAAATAAATATTTCATGTTTCTTCAGCAGCAAATCAGCATATTAGAATAATTTCTGAAGGATCATGTGACAGTATGTGTGTCACACTTATTTCACTCTTATGTGCGTCTGTATCCTTTATTATGACAACAAACCTCTTATCACTGACCATGTCTTGATAATGCAGATATGCACTAACAGAAAAAAAACATGCAAAGTCCACCGAGTCCTTCCCTTTTAAAGACATCTGCTGTCTATTGTGAAAAAAAAAAAAAAAAAAAACTCAGCATGTACAGTATGTGATCAATTGTTAAAATTAGGGATTCACCGATATGAACATTTTGGCCGATACGATAATCGGTAATTCTTTATAATTGAAAGCCGATAACCGATATTTTTGATATATAACTTTATTTACATTTTGAGAGGCTGATTACAAAAACAAAAGTCTCACCATTAAAAGCCATGTCCCAAGCACACAAGTTTTCATTATCATTTTATGTAGCCTATTTGACAGACCTGCGCTGCACATGTTGCACTGAACTGTATTTTCCTCTTTTAAAAAAAAAAGTGATTACAATCATATTTCAAGCTATTCAAAACCATCATGGTGAACAGTGTACACCTGAAGTCTCTTAGCTGAAAGAAATAATCTATTTTTTATCGACTTTAATATATCGCCCAAATTTTCTTATCAGGCCGATAATGATAACATTTAATATGAACATATATCGGGCGATACCGATATGGTGACAGATATATCGTGCATCCCTAGTTAAAATAAGTCTAAATAACATAAGTCTTCATGTTTGGGTACACAGAATCGAATTAATCTGTGGTTAAGGGATTTTCTTAAAAACCTTTGGGGTGGCAATGCTGATTTTGAAAGAGAGTCTGATTTTTATCAGTGGATAAAATAAATGATGAATACATAATCAGCATGTAACAGCTTGTCAACATGTGCCATTTTTCCTTAGTGGAAGCAGTCACTGCCTTATCAAATAGTAACATCAGACACAGATCACATGAAATATGAAGATAATCTTTGCTGGAAGACATTTCATAGAGATCACTGTAAGATTTCCCTGAGCACTAATCCAACAACTACAGAATAATCTTAAACTGTTCACAGTGGCAGAAAAACAGGGGACCAAAAACTAGAAAAAGATTTTTAATGTTTTTTAAAAAAAAGTGTCTAATGCTCAAAAGTCTGAATTAATTTGATTAAAATTGAAATATTAATACAATTTGAAATAACTGTTTTCAATTATAATACATTTTAAAATGTAATTTATTTCTGTTATTGCAAAGCTGAATTTTTAGCATCATTACTCCAGTCTTCAGTGTCACATGTCACAAAAATCATTCTAATATGCTGATCTGGTGCTTTAGAAACATTTTTAATTATCAATGTTGAAAACAGTTAATATTTCTGTGGAAACTGCGATACATTTCCCCTCCCCCCAGGATTCATTGATAAATAGAAAGTCCAAAAGAAATGTCTTTACTGTCACTTTTGATCAATGTAATGCACCCTTGCTGAATAAAAATATTAACTTCTTTAAAAATAAATCTTACTGACACCAAACTTTTGAAATTAGAGTACATAATGTTTGACTTTACTGTTTAAGTATTTCATATTATATTCATAATAATAATGAAATAGCTATGAACGATGATATTGCCCTAGACAACAAAGCTTCAAATAATATTAAGCAAGAAAAAAATACTTACTTTGTCAGTGAGAATCCTTCTTTTTCCTCTTTTCTGTGTTATTTAGCTTTTGTTCTTGTTTTTTAACGGAAACACATGTCCTTACATCCAATGAACCATGACAGTTCTTCCCCAGTCACAAACACGCAGAGAGATGGAGGAACTTGGAGCAAGAGCAAAATCCAGAACTGGCGGAAGAGAAAGCAAGGAAGAGGTAAAGGAAAAGCAGGCTCTGACAAAGACCAGCATGTTTGATGTTTGCTAGTAAGGAGTTGGACACACACTGACTGTCGAACTGTTACATTTCCAATACATGATTTTCCTGCACGCTTAAGCTCTTTACAAAATACAAAACAGCTTTTGGAGCAGCGAGAGTGTGCCGCTGCTGGCCGAATGCAGAGCTGATGAAGACAATATAACTCACCACCAGCACTAGACCAGCAAGAGAGTGTGTATGTGTGTGTGTGTGCTGATAGAATACGCATAAGAAAGCTATTTGGTCAAAAATGAACAGAGTCAGTCAGGCCTACTGCAGGTAGCCAGAGCATCACGTCTGATAAACCTGTTGTGTTTGTAAATAATAAGAGACTGTTGAAAATATCACTAAGACAACGAACAACTGTCATCTAGCTATGTCATACATTTGCATCAACACGTCAGAGTACTTCAGTCAGTTTTTGTATGCAAATCATTTAAACAATGTCACATTCCATTTAAAGGTTGCTAAGCAAAACATTGATATGGTAGTTTATACCTACCATATCATTTGTTTGCTTATACTGTACACACTACAATTCAAATGTATGAGGTCAATCATTATAAGAAATGAATCCCTTTACGCATTAAATTGATCAAAGTGACAGTAAAACCATGCATAATGTTACAAAAGATTCCCATTTCAAATAAATAGATGTTAAACAGAATCGTGCAAAAATGTATCACAGTTTCCACAGAAATATTAAAGGGGTCATATAATGCCATTTTTGTACAAGCTAATATGATTCTTTAGGGTCTAAATTAAAAGTTTGTAATATACTTTATTTAAAAATTCTCATTAGTATTGTAAGAAAACACTTATTTTACCTGGTCAAAAACAGCTCTGTTTCCAGCACGCCGTTTCAGTGCATATGACTTTAAATGATAATGAGCTTTGCTGACTCCGCCCCTCTGTTCTGTGTACACCGTTTGTAACACAATAACACAATAACCATAACACGTTGTTCAGTATAAATTATTATTATGCATTATATTATATAGGGATTATGCATTATATTGAGAACGTCATACATAGAAAACATGCCGTAATGTACCCTAAGTGTAAACCTTAGACGCGTTCATTGTGAAGCGTGCAGCTAGCGATTTGCAAAGATTGATATAAATATTAATATAAAGATTAATAAAACGTTACACTCACTTCAGTTCTTCTGGAGCAGCTGCAGGAACACGAATATCTGGTACCGATCCTTTATTCAGGTGCAGCTTCTTAGCAAAACCAGCTTTATACTGATCCTCGTTTATAAAGCAGTCTGGTGTGTGAAATGATTCGCGCAAACATGAGAGCATTGACGTTGCTCGTGGGGAATATTCCCTTCGAAAACAAACTCAGCCACTGCGTCTTCGGCGGTTCGGATTAAGGAACATTAAAATGACTGTGTTCGTTATTACACCCAAGAACAGAACACCACAATCGCTTAGACGCCATTCTGCTCATAGACAGTGCTCCAGCATATCAACAATGACCGCGCCGGTCCGCGCAGACTATGATTGACAGCTCTCACGAGCGAGGGCGGGTCTGTGTTGAAACGCTCCTGTCAATCAACAATCGTGGGAGGGGCTTCCGTTTTATTGACGTCACAAAAACGAACGGCTCAATTTGAGGCAGGGGAAAACATATAAGGAGATTAAAACAAAAACACTGGATGGATTTTTATCATTATATGATGGTTGTGTACAGGCACTGCCAACACACATTTCAGTACAATCAACTTGAAAAAGTGCATGTACCATTATATGACCCCTTTAAGCAGCACAACTGTTTTCAAATGGATAATAAAAGTAAGCAATATTTCTTGAGCATCAAATCAGCATATTAGAATGATTTCTGGATGGGTCATGTGACTGAAGACTGGAGTAAAGATGCTGAAAATTTAGCTTTGCCATAACAGGAATAAATTACATTCTAAAATATATTAGATTCGAAAAACAGTTCATTTTTTCGAATAAATGCTGCCTTGGATAAGAGACTTTTTCCAAAAATCTTACCAACCCCCCAAGTTTTGAACAGTAGTGTAAATGCAACACATGGAACAAATATGGGGCAAAATATTGTATAAGCATTACTGGTGACATCAACAATTAGATATGGAAAGCATTATATTCTTCCTTTTAAAATGTAAGCCTATTTATTTTGCAGTCCTACTATACGTGGTTAGTGCATTGTATTTTTATTAATAATATTTATCAGGGTAGACTAGTCAGTTGAGAACCACTGCATAAACAAACCTATCAGCATCTGAACTAATCTGTAATGCTGAGATCATAAGCATGTTTAAAATTGTTCAGTTAGGTGATGTAGTGGAGTTAAGCAGATGATGTGCTTCATTTTCTTCTGTGTAGACAACGACAGGAGCTCTCAACTCCCTCCTGCGTGTTACTATAAGTATCTGTGAAAGTAGGCTACAGCCTATTTGAAACGTTTAAAAGGTGAGATAAAGAAATGACAGACAATTGGCTGTCAAAAAAAAAAAAAAAGTACTCGGCCCATTGTTCTCATATGTACGTCTCCATCATTGACTTTTTAACCCTAAAAATTGTGACACTCTCATTTAACTACCCATTATCTCTGAGGATTGAACGGTTTGTATCCGGCGCTCTGTAAAACACAGAGCAGCTTTGCCCCAGATACAGGCATAAATCTGTGTCAGGATCCAGAGTTGGCCACAAATCCCTCTCCTTTTCTCCTACTGGACAAAAGTCAGCTCAGCATCTGGGTGACTTTCAGCCAGCCTACATTATGCGTCTGGCCTTTAATATAATCCATCTGTCAATTTACATTTTTATATTCAGACATGCATAGGGTGCAAAAGTAATCTGCACATATGTTTTATTTAATGTAAACCAAATCTTCCAATGAACATTTTACTACTGCTGAAGCGACACTTCATTTCCTCCAATTATTGCAGGACAAGGAAATATATTACCGTCATATGCTAAATTGTTTCAGACATTTATAGCCAGTATGCATTTATATTTTACTTTTCATTTCATCCTAATCAGCAGGGTGGTCTATGCCGCAAATATTCGACATACATATAATAACATATACTTTGTACATATTTGTATAATTGAAGCACATTGCACACTGGTTAGTGTATGTGCTACATTTTGTGTGTGTGTATATATATTTATATATAACTATAAGGTTTTTAGTCAGTCACACAAACGCTTGTTTCCTCCAGCAGTGGTTTTGAATTTTGGTTTCAAACACCCATCTCTAAAATTACAATATTTTTAGTGAATTCAGTCTTCCAACTAAAATGACAAAATATTCATGTTTTTGTAATAGCAGTTGGGTAAGTAAATTGAATTAAACCACTTCAGACAGCACAGTCAGGAGGGAGATTTTAGGGTATTTTTCATGAATGTCAGGGCAAATTGTCACGTGTTTTTAATTTAGTAATTTTATGCAATTTATTAATTACAAATTATGTTATTGTTTTGTTGGTCAAAATATTGGTTTTATATTTTGTTAACATTTTGAATATTATATTGTTGTCTTGTTTAAATGTTGCATTTGCATTTTCATTGACAAAAAAAACTCACAAATAATTTAAAGTTGTTGTTTTTTATATCTATAAAATATTTACACACACGCATGTAGTCAAATCATTATCATCATCATCAGGGTTAATCTCACAAAACCTCTGAAGAACATGTTTATGGTCATAAATTTCACTTCAAAATCATGAGAAATTATATTTTTTACCACTAATAAGATTAGCAGTGTGACAATTTTATGACAATTAAGCACATAACTTTCCCAAGTAAAATAATAATAAAAAGCTAGAAGTGTTTACATTTATAATACAATTTTTTATAAACAACCAATTCATTACTAAAACACAACAAAAACATATATATGTAGGCTATATATATATATATATATATATATATATATATATATATATATATATATATATATATATATGTTAACATTGTATTACAGTGCAACAGTGCTTAATTCTCATGAAAATAATGTCTTAATTGAAAAAAAAAAAAATCTTAATATGTCCTGGATCTTTCATGAGATTCACCCATCATGATCATCATCACTCCAGTCTGTCCCAATGAGAGGTGAATGGTGTTATTTAGAGACAACGCTCTATATTTTTCATGAACCGAGATGAGGAGCACATATCGAGTCGAGATTAAGGGCGATTATAGATTTAATCTCCTCCTGCAGGGAATTCATGCGTGTTTCATTGTAACTAATGGATTCGAATATGACAGGCAAAAGAAGCATCTCAGGCAAACATGTCCAAGCAAACAAATACTACACAACACCTTCTGCTTTTGATTTACAGTTATTAAAATCAACAACATGCCTTATCCCTTCACAAACAGCAATGCGTTTATAGTTTGAATGTCCCATATAAATATTACTCAGATATTCAAAAACCCATAAAATACAATATAGGTTACCGTTTGTAAAATTAGTGTGCACGTCACAATAGCAGATATTAAGTAAGTTTCAATTTAAAAAACTAAACAAAAACTTACAGCAACCACTATAACAATATCTAAAATCAAAATGAACACGACAACTGACATTTCTGTCCTAAAACTTAATACAAATATAAATATAGTAGCGTAAACTTACATGCTGATGTAAATCATGGAGAAAGTGAAGTTGATGTGATCTCTGGCATTCACTTGCTCTTTAACTGAGCCGGTGGAGGAAAAACACCGTCAAATTAAGCGATACGTGACGTTGAGCACAAGGTGAAATATAACGCAAATCATTCGCTTTCACAGGATGACTGAAAGTTCACCCATTAAACACAGGATGGCGCTGCTGTTGTACAGAATATAGATTTAATCGAAATCAGCATAGTTAGTAAAAACAATAGCCTTTTACAAAACATTTTAATTTAGGGCACATACTGGTGGTGACGAACATATTTTACACAGTACTAACTTATTTACAACTGAACTTTGGTTTTTACCATAATTACAGAGGCACCAGATAATGAACACCAATATCAGTGTGTAGAATGTTTAAAAACACCAGAATAAAGCAATGAAGCAATAGGTCTCAGGAGCCTCTGTATATTCCCCTGCAATACATTATAAAAAAGACAATAAAAACAGTTCTTCCGCATAATTAAAAAGCTCAAAATGGGATGGAAAGGCACATTTCCAGTCGTGCAGGTAGGTGTGTGTGGACTGCATTTGAAATTAAGTCCCATAAATATGGCAGACAGTGGAGAAGCTTTAGAGGCAAGCGTTTTAAGATGAAGTCTTCTTAGTGTGTTTAGTATGAAAAACGTCCACAGTGGTCTCATGACACTCTCTCAAATCATAATCACAGTATCCTACAGAGAAGCGACCCTTAAAAAAAAAAGAGAACATTTTTATATATCTATTATGCAAGCACTCACAGAGAACATTTCAGAGGTATAAATGCTTAATGGACCAGATTATAGCAGGTTCATTTAGAGGGTACCTTTGGTTTCTTGAAATAGTCGAGTCCCCTGCCGATCTTAATTATCCAACCATTATTAAACCTGAGGAAACAAAATGAATATATACATGATATAGACAATGTTAAGACATTATGTCCCAGTGTGTTTACGGTGATACACAGTCAATGAGAATGATATACCTGATCTCCCTGTCATGAATAGTAGATGAGTACTGAATATCTAGACAGATATTTTGACACTGTAGCGACTGCTTTATTTCTGCCAGGGCACTGGTTTGCGGAGCGGAGCGGTCCTTAAAAAAAACCCCCATGATTAAGTCAATGTATGTCAACTTATACCACTGATGAACAAAATGATAAAACTTTACCTCATCCAGTGAGGTCAGAAGATGAATCGTCTTTACTTGACATGGAGATTTCAGCAGCATTTCACAGAAACGAAGAAAGTTATAGAACTGCAAAGCAAAACATTTGTAATGCGTTTCACTCTGTAATAGTTATTTAGTATCTCAGCATTTTACTGACTGAATCCTGAATCTAGGAGCATCACTGTGTGGTCTCTACCTGATGGACATGCCGTACATAGGGGTCCTCCACCCAGACTTCAGTCAGTCCGTCTCTGATGTATGGTTTAAAGAGGGATTCATAGCTGAAACCAGTGGAACTGTCAGCTATCTTTATCTGCTCATGGTATTTGCCCTCTGACAGATGAGATGACAGTGAGAAAAATTAATAGTAAGGTTAATTAAACCAGGGAGTTTCAAGCAATTAGATTCCACAGAGCTCCAAATATGATCATCCACACTCTAAAGTTTAAAAGGCAGCTATATATTTTCGACACCCAATTCATACTGTGAACAAGTAATATTTTTAAAATGTGTTAAGTATTAGTTGGCATTAAATTATTTAAATTAAAATGGTATTATTTATTTTAATCAAATGTTTTTATTTTTATACATATTTTGACACTGTTTTTCTAAAACTTTTCCACGGACAAAAACTTTTGACACTGTTTTAATATACATTTTATTTAAACTTTACAGTTTTTATATAAACTTTTTTCTGGAGTTTCAAAGTCATCATTTGATCTGATTCTACAGGATTTTCCAGGAGAAATGTGTGTCGCGTTTTTTTAACGGTCCACCTGGAAACAAAACCACTCATGGAAGAATAAAAGTATGTGAAGAATATGAAGTTCACAAAATACATCCAAGACTTTTACGACGGTCTGCTATTGTAGGAACATTGACGTTACATTTTTATGCCCCTGAACATGACGTGGCACAAAACGAACTGTGATTGGTTGCTTTACATGTCAGTCAGACGGCCTCTGGGGGGTCCTTGGCCAAAGAAGGCTGCTATAGAGTGGTAAAGGTATGACATCACTTTGTAGGCCAAAACACGGAAGTGAGTTAGCATTTTAGCACTTCCGGTTTCATCATACATCAACATCACCCCACTCATGATTTTTTGAAGCTGTTATGTGTCTTGAAAAAGGCGGTTGCTAACAAGTGGCTAAATGGGACTACAGAGGCTGTCGGGGACATTACACGTCATTACACTGAACAGGTAAACTCAGTCCGCTTTTACAGGCTCATTTGGCTAATAACTGTGCTCTTATTAACTATTCTAACTCAAACGTTCTGGGAAAATGTTTTTAGATAAAGACTGAAAGAGTTGTCGGAAGCTTAGTGATGATGACGTTGAATTCGTGGGACCGTGGTGTAGTTCGCTTATAGCCTACCTTTAGCTTTTTACTTCTGGCGACTGCATTTAGACTTCAAAATTCATAAAAGTTGTGTGCATCTGTGATAATTAACTTGATGGACAAAACTTGCAAGTATCATAAACTTTTGTTGATCACAGAGCTTGTTTTTAGCGATAATCCAAAAGCCTGTGGGAAAATCCTATTGGGTTTTTGTCGAGGGAACCAGTGTGATAACTGCCGGTCGGCCTACAAAGTAATGTCATACACCACTCTATGGAGTCCAAGCCTTCTGCTGTCAGTCTGAAGGTCTGGCTACTCGAGACTACCCTAGTGTTGATTACTCGAGGCGTAATCAGATTACTTTTCCCCCCAAGTAACTAGTAAAGTAATGCATTTTTTGAGTTACTTTTTCAAACAAGTAAATCAAGTGACTTTGTTTTCCAGTTTATTGATGGACACCTCTTGTGTCCCCATGCAATATTGTAACCCATTACTTTTAAAAGTAACTTTTCCTAACACTGACACTAGCACTCTATTGTGGTGGCCCCCTGGTGGTCCCCGGAGCCCAATTTAAAATTCCTGGTTTAAACCACTTTCTTTACCCTCTTTCAGTTTGTTCGCATGGTCTTTGATCTGTTCCGCTCGGTCCATGTAGCCCTTGATCTTCTCTCTGTAGTGGACCTTCTTTGAGTCATCTTTAACAGCTAGGAAAACAGTGATTATATTCAGAGTAACATTTAAATCCATAGGCAAAAGAGCACATTTACCATTTCCATACCTTTGAGGGCATCCAACAGGAGCTGGATCCCTTCCTGGTAGCACACCAGAGCCTCCTGAAAGCGTGAGCTATGATCGAGCTCCACAGCTCTCTTCAGGACAGAGATAGCAGAGCTCTCCATGCCTGGGAGGAAATCATGAGCCATGTCTAATCTCTGTGATGGCTGTAGCAACAGAAGTGGCAGCAGTGCTGAAGAATACAGTCCGGCTGACAGTGATTCTTACATGTGCATTATGTTATTGTGTACGTTAGTCATAGCAAATAGGTCTGCACTTCTTTATGCCTTTCGAAAAATCACGAGAAGCACAACATTGTCAACACTATCCAAGAAAATAAAAACTTTCGTGATATAATGCTACACTAAATCAATGGAAGCACATTTACTTATTTAAAACGAACTAAAATAATGACACGTCGATTGTCCTCGAACAACTTTCTTATCGAACTAATCAGTTTTTAATCAGAGACTACACTGTGACTGTGCGTTTCCTGTAGGAACTCAAGTGTGAATACCTACTTACGTGTTTATTATGCTGAGGGACCAACTTCCGTTTCCGTTAACCCAGATCACTAAAAAAAGTCCATATTATTATTAAAAGTCAATAGCATGGTTTAGTCAATTACGTTGTAAACTATAACAATGCATCGTTCAATAATTTGTTGCCCAGAAATATACTGAAACTATAATATTATAGATTATAGCACAGATTTGTTAATTTTTCACAAAATGTACTTGATATATTTAAATTTAATTTAAATAGGCTAATGCTCATGTTATCATTATTATATCAGCCTATTTAAGCACATCATATGCATTTACATGAATGTAGCAAAAATAAATGCACTAAATGCACAAACACTTTGGGGAGAAAATATAAGTTTGAGCAATAATAGAGATGCTAGCAAAAGAACAGAAAACATATATCCTTCTATTGCTGTGTCAATTGATTATTTACTTTAACTCACTACTGTTTATTTAGGTTAGGATGTGGTAGTAAGATGTTGTTGTACTGTACTATGGTAGTTGCTCAGTCATGATCTGTCTGTATTTAAAAGGGGAAATGTAGCGTTATCTATAATCTAATGTGTAATATGACATTCACCCCACATAAAATGTAGGCTTATAGAAATATGATAGGAGTGAGAGGCTAAAATGATTAAGAAATGTTTAAATGTGAAAGTTAATGTGATTAAAACTAGTATAAGGGGATGTTTTGCAAATCTAGTATTCAAAAATGATTCGGAATGAACTGACCATACATGATGAAACAGATTTTCAGATCATCTACTGAATTCTCACCAGAGTCAGAAAATCAAATGGTGGTGTTGACAGCTAATTATTATACATTTTTGAAAATTATTCAATTAAATTGAATATTATAAATGATATTTAAATCTATATATTCCCTTTAATCACACATGTATTGCACGTAATAGCCATTTTACTTTTAAATTATCTAAATAAGTGTGTGAGGACAAATGATCGTGACAGAAAATAATAGCACAATTACTTATAAAGCTAAAACTCACAAGAGCCTGTGAGACCTTATTGAACGCAAAGAATAGATAAACTAGAAAAAGGACATCCGGGATAATGTCTGACTTTGCTTGATTTATGATTTCATAAATATCTTACAGTGTTAGATATGTGCAAAAGTATGTGCAACCTTAAAGGTGCTCTACGTAACTTTTAGCGGCCTCTAGTGGTGATGTTTCAGATTGCAACCAAATTTTACAATAGCGCTCGTGCTCGAACTCATAGACAATACCGTCTATTACGCAAATATCTCGGCGAATACTTGACGGATTCGGCGAGCACCGAGCTCGTTGGGACCATCTAGTCGAGCTGAAAAGAACCATATAAGTTCCATAGTTTTTGGTGCTGTTTTCACGATCTCAGAAGAAAATCGCTCGTATCTCTGGAACGCAAAGACCCAGAGAGCTCAAATTCGGGGGAGGAGGTCCCAGGGGAACCCTTGCCCGAACGCTAGAGTGGCGGGCCTCGGGGATGCCCCCTACCGGATCGCCGTTCGCTGGGACCCCCGATTTCGAACGGCTATAACTCGGGGAGCCGGGCGATTTGGACCTCGGGGGTGGGCTCGTTCGAAAGGCCCCTTCCAGCACTACGAACGATTCGAGTATTGGGAATATTGATCAAAGATTGACTGAGATATAAGCCGAGAAACGTGCGCCTTTAACCGGACGTAACTCCCTGACCGTCTACAATAGACTGTATATAAGGAGAGGGGCTCGGGAGCGCGCATGCACGTCACATCCGTTGGATTTCGCGGTAAATCCGACCCGGAGACTTCACATAGAAATAGGAATACTGGCCTTCAGAGGTAATAGCAAAACTCGACAAGTGGATCATTTTAATGTGTGATTACAACCCCTTCACACACAGGCAATAAAAAAAGGATTCATTTTAGTAGAAAAGTTACATAGAGCACCTTTAAATACATTTTTTAAACGAACCTTTTGGAAACAGTTTTTTTTTAAATATACATATTTTTTTCCTTTTTTTAACAATTTTAATAAGAAAGTAAATAAGAATACATTAATGTTTAGAAGGGCATTGTGATCATCTATGATATCAAAGTGGAAATGCGGTTATTTTCTAAACGAATTTGAAATTTGCCTCCATGCCATAGAATAACCAATTTTGGTTCCCTAAAGAACCTTTCAATGAACAGTTCCTTAAAAGCACTTAAAATAATTTGAATAATCTAAAGAACACCTTTTTTTTTAAACTAAATGAAAGGTTCCATGGATGTTAATTGACCATAGAACCATAAATGCCATTAATTAAAGAACCTTTATTTGTAAGAGGAAAGGTTTTGAAAAGGCAAATGAATTGCATGGACATTTTCCATCTCATCATTGCTCCTTTTATCCTGCTTGTTCATAAAGGGGCAATGATGACCACAAACAACATCAGAACATGTGAATAAAAAGCTGGCTGGGCTGCTCCAACAATTTTAACAGCCGAACAAGCCAGTTTAATTCACTGTTATGTGGGTGTAGTAGGGGGTGTTCTTTTAATGTAGACAGTTTAAGAGTTGGGTGGAGCCGTATTTAGTGAGGAAGCATTTTATAGCTTAAATGGCTGAGAAGATTGAGTGAGAGCAAAGGACAGATGTGGTCAGGGCAGCTGTGGTAAGGAAACCTAAAGCCTGCTGTCTGACCAGCACCACAACAGCATACTTCCCATTCTTCCACCAAACCTCAGGCCACGCCATTTCCTCTCGCCAACTGCCCAGAGCTTCCTTCTGCTTTGGCATGAATGGAGGTTGGGAGAGTGTGTTCAGTCAGTCTGTGTACAGTTGTAACTATGGAATGTAATTCATTACCATGTCTTTGTGGTGGATCTTTTTATTTTCCGTGGAATAGCATCCTCGGTAAATACGTGGTCATGAGATATTGTATGTGTAGTTCACTGCATCCCGCTATACCATTAGAAGGAAACTGTGTTTCTAAAATAGCACGGTTTCCTGGAAACTAAAAATAGATTGGCCTGATCAAAATGAAGCTGATAGATGTTTATTAGAAGTTAATTTAGAGTCACCCAGAAAAACTGAATATTATTCAACAGAAGACATTCTGGGGGAAAGAAGAAAGTTGTTTTTCCTCAACTGATGTGATAAATATAAAGATATATATAGATAGATAGATAGATAGATAGATAGATAGATAGATAGATAGATAGATAGGTAGATAGGTAGATAGAAGATAGATAGATAGATAGATAGATAGATAGATAGATAGATAGATAGATAGATAGATAGATAGATAGATAGATAGATAGATAAAGAGTCAGACAAAAAAAAAACTGCAGATATGTCAGTGCATTATTACTTCAATATTGAGTCAGACTGATTCAAAACGGCAACTCGAGATCGTGAATGTTTCCATTAAAAGAACCTACAGATGTAGTTTTTTTTTTTTTTTTTTTTTTTCGGACATGCTTGTGATAATCATGTAATACATGTAGGCCTAAATATAAGTTCCCTTTCGATAACGGTCTCTCAACATTGCATCATTAGCTGACGCTATGGGGAAATCCCTTTCTCCGAAAATACTGAAGCTTGATTGAATTGCCATGAATTCGATCTCGGATGAGCACTCTGAGTGGGTTGCCTGCCTGGACCACGCCCACGCTGAAGCCACGGTTATAGAGACTTTCTTAAGGGAAGCGATCCCGACCCTGCGCTCCCCCGTTCTCGTCCCCTTCTTCTCACGAGCTAGGAGAAAGAAGTAGTGAAGTCGCGAGGCTAAGCAAATGATGCCATGTCCCCGGCTGCCTTAGATATAGAGGAGTAATCCAAAACCACGGAGGATTCCGTCACCCTGGCACAGAACAGGCCAGTCGATTCTCAGCACAGACTGGACTCCAAGCTCATCTAAGTCCTCTCCATGGCCTTCGAGGAGCTGGGTTGGAATGGCCGGCTCCGGCCAAGCCCGCCCGCAGCTGCATCGATAAGTGGTTCCTGCAGCCGAGGCTCCACCAGCGAGCCCCCTTGCCAGAGGCCAGCCCCATTCTTTCTGGAGGTACATAAAGAGCTGACTAAGTCCCCTAATCTGCTTATGTCTACTTGTTTTTTCCATCAGCAGCCACTTTTGGTTGCACCTGGTCTTCTTCAACCCAGCAGCTTGCCAAGCTGACGCCATCACCTGCCCGGCCCCAGCCCAAAGCAGACCCTGAGGTCAGGCAGTGTGCTCGGGGTGCCAAGCACTACCTCTTTCCTAAGCATCAGGGCCTTCACCCGCGGATACTGGAGGACTCTGAACAGCAGCCCAAGCAGTCCTCCTGATGTGGCAGGAGTGAAGAGGAGGCAGCCCCGTCCCGCTTTGGCTAGACCAGCCTCCAAGCGGCTGTGTTTGTCCCCCACCCCTCTGTTCAGATCTGGGAGGTGGAGATGTAGTGTTTGTTGCCAGTACTGGTATTGTCTAACCAAATGTGTGCACAGTACTGCAGTTCACCAAATTTGGCAGCAAATGCAAATGCAAAAAATAAAAAACAAACATCTTCACAAAAAGGGCATTTTTACTCATCACACAGAGCATCCCAGCCTTTTGGCGATATGCATGGGTGGCTATACCAGGAGAGTCAAACTGTATGGTCCGGTCTACAGTTTGAGACAGTGAGAAGCATGTTCTGCGAACCGAAGTAGAGAGCTTACTGGTGAAAGGCACTGTGGAGATAGTCCCCACATCACACAGCAAGTCTGAGTTTTACAGCTGCTACATCCTCGTTTTGAAGAGGGATGGTTGTCTCAGGCCCATCTTCATTTTAAGGCTGCTGAACTGTGCCCTTATGACAGTCATTCAGAATGCT